GAGGTATCCGTGACATAGATAAAATTGTTACAATTTAAAGGGCTAAGAAACCTTCCTTAATGTCTAACTTCTTTGGTGTAGGTCTGTGGATGGCCTGTTGTGTGCCCGGAAGAGGAATGCTCATGTGCCCCTCTGGAACTATGTGATGCTGCGTGGCCAGGTATGGGATCTCAGCACAGAGGAAGGTGTTTCTGGACTGCTAGCATGATCAGCATGGTTTTCCACTCTGAATGGTTTTCCGCAGGCTGCACTCTGCCTTCCAGGATTGTCTATATTCCATTTGCTGGAAGGCTAAGCTAGCTTTTCCATTTTCTCCAATCTCTAAATCTCAGTTTGTCACGGAATAGATAGTGCTTTGTCTGTGCAAGATGAGAATCTTCATGAGAGAAAGGACCACAGCTGTGCTTTTGTCTTCTTCCTTGGTGCCTAATCCTGTGCCTGACATAAGCAGGATGTCAGCAAATGCTTATTGGTTAAGCGAATATCTGAGGTGAATGGACAGAGGGATGGATATGTTCTTCCTTGGGCCCTGAACTGAGATCAGAACTAACTTTATTGTTGACAGTGAAAACAATGTTTCTTGATGTAGAAAATAATGTTATTGGGCCAGGGATTTAGCTCAGTGGTTCTGCAGCCTGCCTCACAAGGATAAGGTCCCGAGTTCGATCCCTGTTATTAAAAAAAAAAAATTTCTTTTATTTGAATCTTCATGTTGCATTTTGTGTTTGTAGATCTTCATTGTGTACTTCATTGCCGGTGTGAAGAAGCTGGATGCAGACTGGGTTGAAGGCTATTCCATGGAACATCTGTCCCGGCACTGGCTCTTCAGCCCCTTCAAGTGAGTGGCTGAGTGGTGGTCGGGAGAGACCTCCTGGGGACTCATCTCCTGAGGTGCAGTGATGGCAGCTGTTCCTGGTCCCTCACCCCCCTATTCAGCAGAGGGCAGAGTCAGTGCTATTAAAAGACCGACCCCCAGCTGCTCTTGGGAGGCTTAAAAGTGGCAAGAAGGGAAAAAGGAAAAGAAGGACTAGATGACCGGGTGAATTAACCAGCTTACCCATCCATTGCCTTGGCCCTGCTGCCCCAGCCACATGCCAGGGCCCTGTAGGCAGGGTACTGAAGAACTGGGCAGCCGCTGTCCACGCACTGACACGACCATTATTTTCAACTCTGCAAAACAGAGCTTCACCTCTGGCTTTTCTCTTCCTGCCTCTCACTTTGTTCTTTTTCTTCTTCCTTGTTATTTGTCACTTCCTGAAGTTTGACTTATGTGTTAGTCCAGTGTTCACCTTTTAAAGTTTCATCTCCTTATGACCTCTGTGAGGAACGTGCCCCACACAACATACCCACTTCTCCATCAGATCTTGTCCTAGAAGATCTGCCTTTGCTCCTCACAGGAGATTATGTTAAAAATAGCTGGACACCTGCAGGTGCTGGAAAATTACATTGTAGAGCATTTTTGTGGGTGGGTTAAGTACCTCTGCGTTCTGCCCAGCCAGTGGGTGTCCATGGGCAAGGACACAGTGGCAGAGGCACATTGTGCTGTAATGTGGTGTGACGTAGGTTCCCAGAGAGTTTGTTGGACCTTTGTCTCTGTGTGTGCAGACTGGTGTTGTCCGAGGAGCTGACTAGCCTGCTCGTGGTACACTGGTGTGGGCTACTGCTCGACCTCTCTGCGGGCTTCCTGCTCTTCTTTGATGCCTCAAGACCCATTGGCTTCTTCTTTGTGTCCTACTTCCACTGCATGAACTCCCAGCTCTTCAGCATCGGTCAGTACTTGTAGCCGGCTAGGGAACTGGAACCACAGGTTTGCAGGGACTAGCAAGAGGCATTGTTTGAGTGGTGAGAGCAGGAGCTAAACTGAGCCCAAAGCAGTCACTGCGAAGTGGAAAGGGTGGGGTTGAGAGGATTTGGGATTCTGGGCTCAGCATATTTAGTGAGGAATCTCCAAAAAGAATAAGTATTCCATAGTTAAGAATTTGTGGCCAGGTGTGATGGCATACAGCTATTATCCCAGTACTCAGGTGGCAGAGGCAGGAGGATTGCAATGATTCTAAGGCCAGCCTGGGCTACATAGTGAGTTCAAGGTCAGACTATATTATGTAGAGAAACCCTGTCTCAAACAATAAGAAATGGTGGTACCTGCCTGTAATCCCAACATTCTGTGAGGCTGAGGCAGGAGGATCACAAGTTAAAGCATAGCCCAAGCAACTTAGCAAGACCCTGTCTTGAAATTTGAAAGAAAGGAGGGTGGGTAGTGGTTGCTGGGGATATACCTCAGTGTAAAGGCCTTGGGTTTGCTCCCTAGTACCACAATAAAAGATGATTTTTTTTTAAAAGCTGGTAATAAGAGCTCAGTGGTAGAGTACTTGCCTACCATAAACCAGGGCCTATGTTCCATCCCAGCACTGCAAGAAAAATGGTAATTTGTGTGTGTGTGTGTGTGTGTGTGTGTGGTGTAGATCATGTCCAGGGCCTTGCACATGTTAGACAAGCATTCTGTCACCCAAGGATGTGTGTGTGTATATATTGTGTGTGTATTTATGACTAAGGAGGATTGGACCCAGGGCCTTCATACTGAGCTATTGCTCTGGCCTTTTTAATTTTTATTTAATTTTATTTTTATTAGTACATTTGCAGTACATAATGATTTCATTCATCATGGGGAGTTGGTACATGTATGCATGTGCATAACATCTTAACTCTGTTTATGTCTTACCCCCGCTTCACTCCCTGTCATTAATTTTTTACTTTGAAACAGAGTTTTGCTGAGTTGCCCCTGCTTGGCTTAAACCTGCCATCCTCCTGTCTCAGCCTCCTGGAGTGCTGGGATGACAGGCATGCCCTGCCATGCCAGGCCCCAAGGACTCAAAAGGAACATCTGGGAGAGGCGTCTAAGGAGGGGGGTGTTACAAGAGTCCACTCAAACTCTTGAAATACCTTCTGCTGTCTTAGGTATGTTTCCCTATGTCATGCTGGTCAGCAGTCCTCTCTTCTGCTCTCCTGAGTGGCCTCGGAAGCTGGTATCCCACTGTCCCAAAAGGTTTCATGAGCTACTGCCCCTCAAGGCTGCCCCTCAGCCCAGCACTTCCTGCGTGTATAAAAGGAGCCGGGCCAAAGGCAGCCAGAAGCCGAGGCTGCGCCACCAGCTAGGCGCTGCCTTCACTTTGTTCTACCTCCTGGAGCAGCTCTTCCTGCCATATTCCCACTTCCTCACCCAGGTTGGTAGGAGCTTGCATGCACAGCAGAGCCTAGAGTGGCAGGGAGACAGTAGCTGGGGAAATTGGGCTGGTTCTGCGCAGCCCTTTCTGGGTAGACAATGGAGTTGGTGTGAGAAACACTGAGCTGGTCCTCCTCTGCCAGGGCTATAACAACTGGACCAATGGGCTGTACGGCTACTCCTGGGACATGATGGTGCACTCCCGCTCCCACCAGCATGTGAAGATCACCTACCGCGATGGGCTGACCGGAGAGCTGGGCTACCTTAACCCTGGGGTGAGGCATCTCATGCTGACAGTAGACTGCAGGAGCTTCAGGGACTGATTTGGTCCTACACATACCACGAAGTAAAACAAACTTGGGTCCCTTCCCTTTGTCCAGAGCCAGACTGAGCCTTCCTTTTGTGGGATGATAGAATGTCTCTCACTTTGCTTTGAATTGGGGTCTCACTCTATAGTTTGGGCTGGCTCTAAACTCACTATGTAGCCCAGATTGACCTGAACTTGCAATCCTCCTGCCTCACCCGCCCAAAGGCTGAGATTACAGATTTGAGCCACTATGCCTGGCTTGTCTCTTACTTTTTTTGAATTGAGATTAGATTTAGGAAAGGTAAGTATGAGTACCATTGGCCCTGCAATGAAAAATTCATTCTCAAAGACAAGTTTGTTTGTTTTTCAGTATGGGATATTGAACCCAGGGCCTTCACAAAGAACTATAGCCCTTTTTTTTATGTTTTATTTAGAGACAGGGTCTTGAGTTGCCTGGGCTGGGCTTGAATTTCTGATCCTTCTGCCTCAGCCTCCCACAGTGTTGGGATTACAGGCTTGTGTTAGGGAGTACAGGCTTGTACCACCATGCCCAGATTTTTTTCCTGTCTGAAATGGGCAGCAGGCAGCAATATTTTTGTGCCATTGGCAGTGCATGCCCTGTCTTAGGGCTTGATGATGAGGTGGGACTAATGTGGGGGTTTGGGACAGGTATTCACACAGAGCCGACGATGGAAGGATCACGCAGACATGCTGAAGCAGTATGCCACTTGCCTGAGCCGCCTGCTTCCCAAGTACAATGTCACTGAGCCCCAGATCTACTTTGATATTTGGGTCTCCATCAATGACCGCTTCCAGCAGAGGTGGGCAAGGGGAGCAGCGAATGGGAAAAAATGAAGCTGAGCTCTTTCTGCCAAGATGAACAGACAGCTCACACTCTGGAGTTGTCTTGCTTAAGAGGTTGCTGCTCTAATGCATGTCCTTGTTGAACTGGTTGTGGGCATTTCTGATTGTGTCCAGCAGGGGGCACCATCATCCAGAAGAAAAGTGGACTGACTTCTTTTAGACTCTCTTAACGTGGTGCCTTCTCAGGTGGCCACTTAACCCCCATTCTTTCCAGGGCTCCCACATCTCTTTCCCTTCTCTCTGCCCTGAACTGGCAGTAACATGCTGATACCAAGCCATTTCTTCTGTCTGGAAACCCCATTCCCTCTTGCTGGGAATGAGGAACAGAGCCAGGAGTTGTGGGTGGGTGGGTGGCTGGGGCTCCTTAGAGCATGTTTTTCTTTCCTAAGGCTCTTTGACCCTCGTGTGGACATCGTGCAGGCTGTCTGGTCCCCTTTCCAGCGAACGCCATGGGTGCAGCCACTCTTGATGGACTTATCCCCTTGGAGGACCAAGTTACATGAAATCAAGAGCGGCCTAGACAACCACACCGAGGTGGTGTTCATTGCAGATTTCCCCGGTATGGAGGAAAATAAGGGACTGCTGTTTCTTGGGCGTCCTTGGCCAGGGACATTGTATGTGGTGCAATGAAAAGGGAGTTCCTTCGGGGTGGTGATTGGGAAGGTGCAATGTCTCTGACCTGGTTGGGAGTGCATATGTCTCAACCATGGAATTAGAAATTCTGTTACCCCTGGCAGGGCTACACTTGGAGAATTTTGTGAGCGAAGACCTGGGCAACACTAGCATCCAGCTGCTGCAGGGGGAGGTGACTGTGGAGCTGGTGGCAGAACAAAAGAACCAGACACTTCAGGAGGGAGAAAAAATGCAGGTATTTTGGTGGGAGTAACAGTGGCAGAAAGTTTAGATGAACAAGGTTTATTACAAACAAAAATGTCTCATCCATTGCAGTAATACAATGGGGGCTTCAAAAGGCAAGAGCTTTGGCTGGGGGTATAGCCCAGTGGTAGAGAACAGGTCCATACAGGCTCTGAGTTTAATTCCCTATATGCATGTGTATGTACACACACACACACACACACACACACACACACGCTGTGAATAGTTTCATCCAGGAGCCAGTTACTTCTTCAGACTCTAAAACAGAAAAAACAGTGCCAGGAAGGGTGCACACCTACACTTGGAAGGTTGAGGCGGGGGGATCACTGCAAGTTCGAGGCCAGTCTGGGCTCCATAGTGAATTTTTAAGGCCAGCCTGAGCTACGGGACGGGACCCTGTCTCAAAAGTGGGTAGAGTAGGGAAGCCATAGGCTGGCTAGGGAGTTTAAGAGTGAAGTACACCCATTTCTTCCCCTTTTTAGTTGCCTGCTGGTGAGTACCATAAGGTGTATACTGTGTCACCTACTCCGTCCTGCTACATGTACATCTATGTCAATACCACAGAGCTTGCCCTGGAGCAAGACCTAGCGTATCTGCAAGAATTAAAGGAGAAGGTAGAGAATGGAAGTGGTAAGTATATAAAGATTTGAGCTGAAGTATCCCTTGGCTTCAAAAAGTCAGGGTTGGCTGGGTGTGGTGGCGCATGAATGTAATCCTAGCACTTGGGAGAGAGAGAGCAGAAAGATTGCTGTGAGTTCAAGACTAGCCTAGGCTTCATGGTGAGTCAAGGCCATCCTGAACTACATAGTGAGTCACTGTCTCAAAAAAAACCCCAAAACCCAAACAAAACAAAGTCAGGGTTATGAATGAGGATCTAGCCATTAAATAAGAATTAACTCAAAGCCCCTGGTTGATGGAGAGTTCTAACGGAAATAGGGCCCTCTCTCAAGTGATTCCTTCTTTCCTGTCTTCTGGCAGAAACAAGGCCTCTACCTCCAGAGCTGCAGCCTCTCTTGGAAGGTGAAGTAAAAGGGGGCCCTGAGCCAACACCTCTGGTTCAGACCTTTCTTAGACGCCAGCAAAGGCTCCAGGAGATTGAACGGCGGCGAAATATCCCTCTCCATGAGCGGTTCTTCCGTTTCTTGCTGCGAAAGCTATACATCTTTCGCCGAAGGTAGGTCTCACCCATAGCAGTACTTGTCATTGCCATCATTTTTGCAAGCATGTTAACTTTTCTCCAGGGACATCAACACTAGAGATGCTCCAAGGAAAGGACAGCCAGGTTTAGGTATCTTCTGTCCCTTCTCTTTTGAGTTGAAGGAATAAGCATCCTATGTCTGACGACCTGTAAGTGTCCTCTTATATCTCAGCTTGTCTCCAGCCTCCCCATGGGTTATTCCTCCATCCTGAAATCTTCTGCCAGACTATAGGTGGCAGGATATCCTTCCAGCAGGAACATGTCTCTGGTATATGCTAGGGTGAGTGGAGCAAGGACCAGGTGCTCCCTCAGGGCTTTGGCTGGAATTGTTAGTTGAAACAAGAGTTTGGACTGAGCCAGGCATGGTGACACATGGCTGTGATCCTGGCACTTGGATCGCCATGAGTTTGATTGAGGCCAGCCTGAACTAGTGAGATCCTGTCTCAAAAAAAAAAACATTTAAAAAAAAAAAGTTTAGACTGAGTAGTTTTTTTCCTGTTTTTCAGCTTCCTGATGACTCGTATATCACTCCGAAATCTGGTATTGGGACGCCCTTCTCTAGAGCAACTAGCTGAAGAGGTGACTTATGCCAACTTGCGGCCTTTTGAGCCACCAGGAGAATCAACTCCTTCAAACAGGGATTCCAGTCCCAGTCCTCCTGAGCCAGATTCTGATCCTACCCACTCAGAGTTGTAAGGGAGCCCAGATGCGTGCAGATGTGGGAGCAGCCAATTACAGGCCCAGTATCTATGCAATGGACAACTGAAAAAAACTCAAGATTTTTTTTATGTTTTCTTTCAAAGTTCTTTTTAACTGAGGTGATAGCTTGAAGGAGCCAAGGAAGTAAAGCAAAGATAAGATTTTTCAATTCAAGATTGAGGGATCATAAAGAAATTAGAAACAAGGTGAGTGTGCTCTTAGAATAAAGAGCTAAGTTTATATTGAACAGTTCTTTAGGAAAAGAAACTTCTCAAATACTTGCTGAGTGCTAGGCACTGTGTGTAGTGTCCCTCTTATCTATCACACAAGTCTTTTGAGACGGGGACTATGTAGTTCATGTTGGTCTTGAACACACTATTCAGCCCAGGCTGGCCCTGGACTCAGTGATCCTTTCTTAGCCTCTGAGTGCGGGGATTATAATCATCTGTCACTGTGTCCACTAACACATTAATTGGTAACAGCCATTAATCTCTTTACAGATGGAGAAATTTGAGAGGTGAAATTATTTGCCCAGACATCCATCTAGTAAAGGGTAGACTGAGTGATGATTTGAACTTAGGTCTATTTGACTTAAGGTCCTGCACCATATTGCTTTTAATTTTCAGAATTGGTGACACTTAACTCTGAAATAATGTAGCTTCAAACTTAAGAGGCAGGAGGATCACAAGTTCAAACCTAGCAGGGGCAATTTAATGACTTGGTGAAACCATCTTAAAACTTTATGCAGAGCCGGAGATTTAGCTCAGCGGTTTGGTGGCCTGCCTTGCAAGCGCAAGGACCTAAGTTCAATCCCAGGTACCAAAAAAAAAAAAAAGAAAAAAAAAACTTCATGCAGCTCAGTGTGAAGACCCTGGGTACAATTCCTAGTACCCCCCTATTCCCCCCAAAACCCCTCAAAATTTGAATAGAAGTAATGATTAGGATAGAGATCAGATTCTAAATGCACAAAATAATTTTATCAGCACAAGAATTGTTTCCTTCTTTGTTCCTATTTATATAGCCAATTAAGTTTTTCACCAAAAATTATCAAGATTTAATCAGTATGATCAGGGGTTTAGCTCAGTGGTGCCATTGCCTGCCTTGCAAGCACAAGGTCCTGAGTTAGATCTCTGGTACCAAAAAAAAAAAAAAAAAAAAAAATTTTTTTTTTCAAAAAAATTCAGAATAGCACCAAAAGTTGGGTGTGGTGGCACAGCCTGTAATCCCAGCACTTGGGAGGCTGAGGCAGGCTGTGCGTTCAAAACCAGCCTGGGCTACACAGTGAGTTCCAGGTCAGTCTCAACTACATAGTGAGACCCTGTCTCAAAAAAACAAGACAAGACAAAACAGAATAGCACCAAAGTAGAACACAGAAATTTAGTTAGAAGTTCTGAAAAAATTAAGCTTCTGGGTTTTTTCCTCAAATTTTAAAAAATCAAGTCTCATCAATTCTTACATACCTCTTCAGTCTTATTTTCATTCCTGCTGTCTGTATTCTTTCAGCTTTTACCCTGGGATGTATCTACTTAGGGGTAGACCAAAGCCAGGGTCACCATATTTAGTATAGGCTGGACTTTAGGGTGAGCAGAAATTCTTCTGTATAGCTATTGATGGTCACAGCAGAGTGCCCTGATCATCTTGTGAATGGGAGGAGCACTGCTTTTCAATCAAGACCTTTTTACGATCACTGTACCCAGAAGAGCTTGCACTTGTCAAGCTCTCTACCACCGAGCTACACTACTGCTAAATCCAGATATTTCTGGTTTCCCTCAGGAGGGCTTCTATTTAGGAGGGTCTCAGGAAAAATTCATGTAGGGTTAAGGAAGCAGCCTTCCTGTTTTGTGTACTACCTCTTTTGACTCATTTTCCCCAAGGAGTATGCTAAAGTGAAGCAAGGTGGAGACCAGATGGATTCACAGAAAGCTGTTTTGGCAATACTCAAGGGTTTGAACCCACGGCCTTGGCACTGAGCTACATACCCAGCTTTGAGACAGTGTGTCACCAAGTTGACCAGGCTAGGCTCAAACTTGTCATTCCATCTCAACTGCCCAGAGTGCTGGGATTATTAGCTATATACCACCATGCCCAACAAATTCTAAATTTGTAATTCACCTTCCTTTTCTCTATACCCACTTAATACTTTGCCAACTATCATCACTGCTGTATCCTTTTGTTCTCTTTTCCTTCTATTTTCTCCCAGGCCCTATTCACACATCTTAATTGAATATACCCTACCTCCCAGAAAAGGGCACAGTGGAAGATCTTTCTTGATTGGGGGATAAACCTTAGCTTTAAAGCAGTTCCTTTTGAAAGTTTACTGCTTTTCTGCTAGTTTTCAGCTTTAATTGAGTTTATTGGTACATTTTAGGGATACAGTAGTTACATTCATTGTTGGTCTGCTAGGTTTTTTAGTCTCTCACCATGTATGTAGTTCAGCCTGAACTTGGAACTGTGCAACCCAGACTGGCCTTAAACTTGCAGTGATCCTCCTGCTTCAATCTAGGATTATAGGCATATCCCACCACTCTGGTTTAGAGGCATCAATACCATCTCTATAGGAATTAACCCTCAGGACCAGGCTATTGGTCTGTGGTCAGGAACCAGTTGGGCAGAAGACCATGGCAGGCAGCCAAAGCTTCATTTATACTTACAGCTGCTCCATTACTCACGTGACCACTGAACTCTGCCTCAGGTCACAGCAGCAGAGGCATCAGATTTTTATGGGAGCACATTTCATGTGAAAGGCACATGGGAGGGGTCTGTTGCATGCTCCTGAATGCAATGTAATAAAGTACACAATAAACATGCTTGAATCATCACTTCCCTGCCCTCAACACTCAGAATACAAAATTGAGCTACTACCACTCCCAATCACACTGGTGGTAGACGCGTGCCAATTTTGAGCCTGCAGGTACTTCAGCTCCCTAATTCAAAGCCAATGTGGTCAATGATTTATGTAAAAGCAACCATAAATTAAGCCTCTGAGAACTTATAGCACTGTCATCTACATAAGAGTCTATAATTGTCACTTTTTAATATGAATCCAGAGTGACTAACATGTTAAGTATGTTGGGCTGGGGTATAGCTCTGCAGCTGTCCACCATGTCTGGAACACTAGGTCTGACTTCTTAGCACTACAAAAAAATATATAGGGGTACAGTACTAGTGATCACCCCACTTTCTATCAGTGCTATGAAATATACCTATAATTCAATGAAGACCTGAAGTATTCTTATTCCAGCCACTCACCTAAATGTTTGTTACTTGTGGTTGCAGAAATCCACATGTCTTGGGATCCTCTACCTCCCACATAAGGCTTTAGTGAAAAAGATACCTGCCACCTCTAAAAAGCAACACTCCCACTCTAATATTACACTTAATGGTTTAAAATGTAGGATCGTAGATGGCTGAGACCCTACTGGCTGCTACAGTAAGGAGGCATGTAGAGTACAGCCTAGAAGGCAATGGTGGACAATAAAATCTAGGGATAAGATTATAAACCTATAGATGTCTGCACAGTAGGTCCAAGCATAATTAATGTTCCTAAATTATAGATTCTAATACTCAAGGCTTATTAAAGATAAAAATACATAATCTTCACAACCACAGCATTTAAAAATGGACACCAACCAGGCCAGGGATTTAGCTCCATGGTTCCGCCGCCTGCTTCAGAAGCACAAAGACCAGAGTTCGATCCCTGGTTACCCCCCCTCCCCAAAAATAAATAAAATAATAATGGACACAGTTAGGGTAGAACCTAGCATTTTATTTAGATCTTCATTAAACTGTTGGAATTGAGAACCAGACATACGTAATAAACCTCCAAAAATAGATCCTGAAAGGCACTTTCCGCTTAGGGCAAGCAGTCATGGAATAAGCATGTAAACAAGCTGGCTTCTCTGTACCACACCAGCCAAGTCAGCTTTCTCCATGGCCAGCTGCACCAGCTCTGCCCTCCCTTCTGTAACACCAGCCAGACCCCCTGTAGGTCTAACCCAAGGTTTTTCTGTAGGACACCTTGGCCTACCTGGGAATGCTGGAAACATGTTGTTAAAGGAATCATGGTGTTGAGGAAGAAGAAGAAGAAGAAGAAAAAAAACTTTTAAAAGCTGCCATCTGAGGTGATGGCTTCTCTGTACTTACGCCATACCCCAGAATACAATAAATAAGCAATTAGAAAATGTTCAAGTATGAAGGGATTTCCTCCTCCCCGCCAAAAGCACTGCTCTCTGAAGGAAGCTGGTTTCTCTGTAGCTACACCAGCTGTTCAGAAAGCTCATTGGACCTGGTTTTGAAAATAAAACAAAGTTAAAACCCTGGGAGGAATTATTGTGCAGTGTGGAATACTCAGTCTTTCTTATAAAGAAAAAAAAAAGTTATCTGGTACCAAAGTGTGCAACCTACAGACCCTCAGGTACTGCCCTGTGACTTCTCTGTATGACATCACAAGGGTGCTAAGTGCCTGTTTTTTTTTTTTTAGATTAAGAATTGGTGAGGTTTGGCTAGTGCTGAAACCATGCATAGGATTGGTTTTACTAAATTAAAAACCTTATTACGTACGTCCCCAAAAGACAGCTGAAGTGGAGATTTTGATTTGGTGCTGTTAGAGGTGGCCATTAGAGCATAAGCACCAGGGAGATGGTTTAATGTAACTGCCTTTTTTTTTTTTTTTTTTTTATGTC